GGCAGGTTTTTGGAAAGAACAAAGTGGTGCATTCGAGTGATTCCAGGATGGCACAAGGAATCGTGAATTTCTTTTAATTTATCATTGCCGATCACATTGGCGCATAGGTTACGCGATAAGGTGTCAGCAACCAGATTGTCTTTTCCAGGTCTGTAGCTCACATCGTAGCTAAAAGCGGAAAGTTCCATTTTCCATCGCTGAATTTTATCATTTTTTATCTTACTTTTTTGCGAGGAACCATACATAAAGGAAACTGACCGCTGGTCAGTGATAAGCTTGAAGTGCTTCCCGAAGAGATAATGCTTCCATTTACGGATAGATTCAACGATGGCGTATGCCTCCTTCTCAATAGCAGAGTGATTCTTTTCGCTCGGTGTCAGTGTTCTAGAAAAGAAGGCCACCGGTTGGCCGTTCTGAGTCAGAGATGCAGCAATGGCTATGTCTGAGGCGTCAGTCTCGACAACCAATGGTGCGTTGTAGTCGACTGTCACAACCATGGCGTTCTCTAACTCCTTCTTTAAATTTTTGAAAGACTGTTGCACACGCTCCGGTAAGGGGAAAGTCTTATTTCTGACAAGCACACTGATTTTGTCAGAGAAGCATGGTATCCATTGCGAATAATAAGCAAACATACCAACAACACGTTGTTGGGATTTAGCGTCATGTGGATGAGGGAGTTCACGAATAGGTTTCATTCGTTCAGGATCTGGTTTGATAATTCCTTTAGAGACTTCGTAGCCCAGAAGGCGTATTTGTTTGGCTGCTATGATGCTTTTCTTACAGTTAAGGGTAATTCCATATTTTCTTATTACTTCAAAGAAAGATTTGAGGTTCTGGTCATGCTCACTTTGGGTAGTCCCACAAATAGTGACGTTGTCGATGTAAGCGTAGGTGCTACTTAGGTTCTCAGACTTGATTATTTGGTCAATAGTACGTTGAAAACATGCTACTCCGTTGGTTACACCGAAAGGAATACGACGGAACTGAAACAGCTCTCCGCATGCTTCAAAAGCCGTATACGGTTTATCTTGCTCACTGATTGGAACTTGATGGTAAGCACTCAATAGGTCTAAGGTGCTAAAGACAGTATGACGGGAAATTTCTTCGATCATTTTATCCAGTCGCGGTAACGGATACGCGTCTAGGTATGTGAACCGATTAATGGTTTGACTGTAGTCCACTACCATGCGTCTTTTGTGGTTTGAATTTTTCGTGACCAGTACTTGAGCCCTCCATGGAGAACTCGAAGGTTCGATTATACCTTCATCCAATAGTCGATTAACTTCACAGCGGATAAATTGTTCATCGTCCGGATTATAACGTCGCGATTTTGTAGCAACAGGCTTGCAGTCGGGTGAGAGGTTAGCAAAAAGAGGAGGTGACTCGACCGCAGCAGCAGGTAGACCGCAGAGGGTGAATGGACCTCGGTCCCCACCGAATGTGATTTCAACTTTGTTATGTAGACCAAGGAAGTCATGGCCTAGCAGCAGGTCAGCACATAGATTGGGTAATACCAATAGTTTGATCTTTTTGTAAACGGTGCCCCTGTAATCGATGGATGCGTAGCAGTAGCCTCTAGTTGAACACGTCAGAGAGGTAGATGCCATGGTAATCACAGAATTGTTAGCATATACCTTCCAGCCATGTTTACCAACCACCAAAGGAGATATGTAACTGCTCGAACTTCCTGTGTCTATGAGGGCCTGAAGCGATATCCCGTTCACCTTTATGCTGGTCACCGTGCGAGACAGGCAGTTCGGGGCCGCAGCAGTCAACAGGGAAGATAAGGCAGAATCCATCGTGCAATTTGAGTGATTCTTTACAGATTTGGATCGACAAACATGTTGAAAGTGGCCTGTTTTGCCACATGATTTGCAAACTGCTTCTCGTGCGGGGCATTTTGACCGTGGTTGTCTGGAACGATCTCAAAAGTAACATATCTGCGAATTGATTGACGAGAGATAGGGTGTAGAATCAGGGGAGATTGAGTGTGAAGGGGTAACTGTAGATGTCTGTAAAGGTGCTGCAGCCGCAGAAAATGATATCGCCTGGTTATGTGAGTATGACTGAGCTTGTTTGTGGACCAATTCTAATGACCTAGCCAATTCATGTGCTTCACCGAGAGTGAGTTCGTTTTGAGCCAGAAGTCTTTCTCTGATGGTAGTACACTGAAGTCCGTTGATTAGAGCATCGCGTACACTTTCGTTTTGATGGTCAATGGTGGACACCGCCTTGAAATCACAATTTTTGGCCAAGGATTTAAGCCTCTGAACAAACTGATCAACATCTTGACTGGTGTCTTTTTTGCAAGTTTGTAGAAGATGGCAAACATAAATTATATTCTTAGGACGAACGTACAACTCTTCAAGTGTACTGATAGCTGATTCGTAATCTGGACAGTCAGCGATATAAACGTATACAGGTGCATCCACAAAATGGATCAGAGTTTCGAGTTTATTTAGATTGGGCGATTTGACAGTGCCCAGAAACGTTTGGAAGGTTCGGAACCAATGATTCCAAGACGTTGTTGCGTCTGGAGAATTAGGATTTGCGTCGAAACACTTGGGTCGCAGCAACGGTTCCATTGTATTCTTAGACAAGTAAATTGTTACGAATAGAAAATCGATTCTGATTGAGCGCGAGAACAAGAATGAATAGCGCTTTACTTGTCTAAGAATAGACGTACATAAGCTGAAAATGAAGGCGAAAGCATGGTTATTACAAAACGGTAATGTGAGCACAAAGAATATATATGACACCGGTTATCCGGCTCAAGCTCAATAACTCGACATAAAAATGGTGGCTGTTTGTAATGTGGGATAATGTCCCAACGGACTGCAGTTCTGACGCTGAGAAGGATGCCGTCTATTGGGAGTTATTCGGGCTCATTCTTCGACTTCGGAGCACTGCCATTGTAACCCTTGCGGGTAATGTCGTCTGGACTCCTTTAAATCACATTCGGGCGGTCGATTTTGAGTCGATGTTCCTCTAGTTGTGTGCTGATCGTGAACTTTTTCTGACCAGTAGAAAGTTTCGGCACAAGCGTTCACACCGCGTAACCTGGAGGCTACCAACTGAAAATTGACCGTTGACCCGGTTGAACTACGTGCCCATCAGCCACCGGTGAGGAGCCACAATTCAAGACTGCCGTAACTTCTGGGGCACACAACTTGATACCGATCGCGCCATGGTGCGTGGACGCCTGGCAATTCGTTTTCCTATCAAGTCATTGCAAGCCAGTAAGAAGTATACCAATCCACCATCTTTGAGGAGCTGCAATAGCTCAACAGTATCTATCTAAATTAACTCATCAACTCTTCAGTGAACCAATACCGTCCTGGCAGTGAGCACGTGTATGGAGCGTGGCACAATGTGGAAGGAGTTATGATGGCGTTCATTGCTGTCCGTTCGGCCTCTCGGATTCGGCCACAAGATCACGGGATATAGTCAAGGTCTCTAGTCGTTATTGATGCCAGGAAAGCCATACCAGCAGGCAACGAGTATGGCAGCGCACTCAAATGCCAAATAGTGGAGCATCTCAGGAAAGAGTGAGACATCGGGAGCTTGGGAGATGGAGAAGACTTTTGCTACCGGAAATGGCCGTGCCCTTTATCGACTGATACGATTGACTGGTCCTAGGAAAGCAGTGGTCAATGAAACGGTAAGTGAAAAAGGTGGCTCAGTAATTCATTCGCAAACACGTCGACTAGAAAGATGGATCGAACTTTTTGGAGAAAAGTTTAGCTGGCCTCCTGTAAGACAGTCTTCAGAGTTGGTGCATACGGACGAATGGAGTGTAAACCTTAATCGCCCATGGAAGAAGAATTGAAGTGGGAAATATCGGTACTGAAACGCTAGGAGACATTAGGACCAGACGGTCTGCAATCAGCCTTCAAAAAGGTGGAGAATCCTTGGTGACCAACCTAAAAAAAGCTCGTTGGTGTGATACAGAGTAAAGAGAGAGTGCCTGCAGAAGACTGCATTTATTCCTATCTTCTACGTGGACACTGAGCGAAAAACACTGGCGTCATCCTGGTAGCTATGGTATTGAAGGTGCTGCTCTCTGGCCTTATGCTTTGAAGGTTGACTAAACACATGGAGAGGCGAATCTGTGAAAACCAAGCTGGTACGTCGATCAATTTTGCACTCTCCGACGGGTTCTGGAACAGCGACACGTCTTGCAGCAACCAACAATGGTTGATTTGAAAGCTGCCTTCGACTCTGTGAACCGTCAGGCACTATGACAGTGTCTGTGGAGCAGACTCTCCTTAAGGCACTGTACGCCAACTCCCGTGTGAAGGTCTACGGGAGGTTATCGCCTGAGTTCTCTACATCAAGTGGTGTCATTCAAGACTGTCCTCTCTCATCTTTTACCTTCAATTTTGTCACTGCTGTGATTATCGAAGACTCGCCACCAGCCTGTAAGGCCTGTGGAATCGAAATGCTCGGGTACGCAGACGACGCCGTCATCATGCAAACAATCTTGACTAGTCCAAATAGCTCTGTCTCACGGTTTGGCACGCACTTCGCACTTGCAAAGTGCAAGTGCTCAAAGGATAGCGAAATTTGTCGGTATTTGACGATCGGTGCCTCCGAGGCTTTGACCGGCTCTAGTGGGGAGGTGGGATACGTAGTGCTAAGGTACGCCAGATGGCTTTTAGGAAGAAGGAGATTTTCGGTTTCATAAGTTACACTCGGTAGGACACGTGCTGCGCGTGCTAGAGGATCGTGTGCCCCGCAGAGCCTTTTTGCTTATTGGAAGTGACCAAGAGATGGCCAATATAACCTGGCAACTAAGTATGAAAACAGTAACCAGTAAACAGTTGGTTGACCACTGCCGCTTCCCTGGATGGGGACGTCTGGACAGTGACGCTGGTAGAAACGGCCTAATCGCGCATTCAGTGGCAGTCGTGTATCAAAGCTGTCTCCTTCAATGCGCAGCTACCAGTTCACAAACTGACTGAAAATGCCGTCGCTTCCAATGCTTGGCTGTATCTCCCATGCTCTTCCACTTTCCGGCGATCGAAACTGTAGCTGCTCGAACCAATGTACCATTGGTACATGGTTTATAGCTGATTTCAAGCCTACGGAGTCCTTCAATGGGTGGCGAGGCACTCATTACCGAAAGGGTGCTACAACTGGACAATTCATTTTATATGAAGTCTGGTCCAGATCGACCACATGACCGAGTCTCAGATGCTATCTTGTCTCCCTGTTATCTTGTGCATTCAAATCTCCGCGAACCACAACGATATCTGTTCTCCCAGCTTTGTCTTACGGCCCATTCAGGGCGTCATAAAACTTGTCTTTAATGGTCACCCTTATCGACAGCATTGCATCAGTGTTCAGCGCTGATGCTCTGCTAATTTCTTCAATGTTGCCAGCGCTACATCGGGTTGGGGCGCAAGTAGACACGATAACCACACAACGATCAACTTTCCTCTTGTGAGGACCCTTCACGGACGTTTTCAGATGATCCGCACAGATCTGTCAACGGCTATCCAGTCAAACAAGGATCCTTCCTCTCGGTGACTTAGGACTGTACCGATTCCTGCCCTGCTTATGCAGCAAGTGAGGCGATCCGCCTGATAACACCACACAACGACTGATGTTGCGTGAAATCATTTGTATTTGTTCGATTTATGGTTGTATATGGCTGAGTTGGGATGGCTCAAGTGGTTAGAGCGCGAATTTACTGACCGGAAGATCCGTGGTTCGAACCCGATCTCTGCATCTCGACTTCTCCTGTCTAGGCTAGAGAAATCTGGCAGTATCGCAGCCCTCGTGCTTCCTTCGGGTGGCATCGCAGCTAGGCACCGAAAAGGGTGTTATAGCTGAACTGCAGTAGGCGAAATCGTGTCCGAAATGTTAGTGCATGAACATCAAGAGCCTCAGAAACCGTATCACTGAGTCTTAGAAGACTCCCAATAACACCCCTTGACACACCGTATAAACGTGTAACTAGGTTTTACAAACGGCCTTATTCGTTCTCCAACCAACTGTTCACTGACGATATAAAGCGAAGGAAAACCATCCACTCCCTCCTTGACCGCGCTTTTCTGCAACCAGACCTAACCACCACTGAAAACCTTCAGTGGTGAACCCTCTGTCAGACGCCGCTCCTGTTTCTTTGGTTCATTGATGGTACGAGGGATTCCTTAGTGACCGTACATCACTTCTCAACACGAATAACAGGTGGCACCACTGACAGCGACCTTTGACCCCTTTTCTGTACATTAAAACATTAAGGGGATAACTACTCAGTCACCTGGTTACGTCCTTTGTCGGTTCTTCTGTTTAACGGTAGTCCAGTCGTGGTGCCGGCAACCCAGGCAAGACCAATAGTTTTCGGGAGTTTCACTAGGCCGTTCCCTACAACGAGCTTTTGGTACCGCTTACGCTGTACTCTGTGGCATACTGGAGCTTTCTATGCAATTTTTGATGATTGCAAACCATCCCTCTAATAGACTACCCCGCTTATTACCGGCTTTGTAAACCAGACGCTAGACGTTTTGTCACACCGTAACCTTATCTTTGTTTTTCAAACCTGAGAATTGCACTCACGATCAAGAGTCTGATGTATATTTACTACTATCCTCAGCAAGGCTACACTGTTCCTGGATTCAGTAGTTGACTTTCCCAAAGAAGTATTCTTATAAAGACTGAAACCAGGATAACATTTTCTTATCCTTTTGTAGTAATGCCGTATCTATCCGGTGCTAGCTGCTAAAATTTACGATTTGCAGAGCTTCATGGAGGGGGTCACAAAGATGAAATCAAATAAAACGGACCATCCGACGTATTTCCAACCAGAAGTGGAAGAAGTCCTGGCTTCTTTGAATCTGAAGACCGACAGTCTGGACAGTCCTTCTTTTGATGTGGTGGCTTATATCAACGAGGTAAGACTACTGCAGTTAAGTAGCAATGAAATTTGCAGATGTTTCCCACTGAGCAGTCCTTGGCGAACATTGATGATGTCATCGCCGACACAGAACGTAAACTGGATGAATTGGAATCCGAAACTCGAGGTATTATCCACAGTCAATGGCAGATCGAAGAAGAAGGCCAAGAAGTTGTTCAAGAAGCAATGCAAATGATGAAGACTTTGTTTACCAGGTTGGTCACGAGGCATATTTTCTATTCTTCCCATATGAAATTACAATGATATGGGTCAAGCGATCCTTTGCAAGATAGTTGGCCTTTTCAGGGCAGACCGGTAAAATGTTAAGATGCAGTCACCGGGTTCATTTTCTAATCTCGTAATTTAGTAGATAAAAGACAGACACCTGAACACTGAACCATGTAAAATCTTGCTTTTAGACGGTTGTACCTTCATGGACGATAACATAAGCCACTTACCACTCGCAATAACTACTCTTACCCTCCTGACTATTATTTACTCTTTATTGTCTGTTTTTAGAATACATGATGTGCAAGATCGGGCCACACGGTCAGAGCAGATGGTGCACGATATAACCAAGGATATACAACAATTGGACCAGGCCAAACGCAACCTAACGGTTTCGATAACAACTCTGAACAATTTAATCCTCATAGTCAATGCGTTGGATCGTTTGAACGAGTTACTGCAGATTAAACACGTCACCGAAACTGCATTCCACACCCCCGAAAAGATTCCTAAGGTCGCAGCTAATCCGTTTGCTGACAGCGACAGTAGTAAGTATTCTGCTGTGCCTAACTGGTTGAAACGAATGATCCCCTTCGGTTTTGTATACCATTCGGTGTTTGGCACTGAGTACACCACAAACACTTCAATTCCCTCATGTGATATCTATTCTGTGACAGCACCTATTGGCCAAACACAATATAACCGCACTCCCCTCTTCTGCCCGGGCAACCGGTGCACCCCATTCGCCCTAATGGTCTTCGTTCACTGACTGCTCCCCACACATCTCTCAACCAAGTCCTCCTCAATCATTTAGCTGCCAGTTACCTAACCGTTGCTCCGTATCTAAGCTTCTGTCCAGTAAACTGAATAAAAAGACACCCTTACTAAATTCGAAGGATATGTTTCATATTGCTGCTTTCAATGTCCGCACTCTGTTTTCAAATTGGGCAACAAGTAGGTCTTGATCAAGAACTATTTTCACTTTTGATCGATGTGTATTTTTTCTATGAAAGACGCATGCAAGACCCTAGTTTGGGCATCCATCTCAAACCGCTCGGACTGAGCCCAGAGTTAACTCTTCATGAGTCTTGTGATCCTGATACAGTGGCTCACGGTAGCAATGACGTGAGAGTTGTGCTTAGTTTGGTTGTTGGTCTGTTCGCCGAGCTTGGCAATTGGATTGCAGACGTTTCATCACCAATCGAGGTGACATCGTCAGTGCAAGGTTGAGTGGATGCTTAGTTGTGCTTAGTTCCAACGCCAAACGCGCTTTACTGGAATGGATTCCAGTAAGCACTCATCTTCGCACTGTTAGATTGATCGGTTCAGTCAAGACCACTGCATCACGACTTGGTAAGCGGTGACCGCTATTTCAGACGACGGACGGTAGCTCTGAGGCTGAGAAAGATAGGTTCTCTTGATATTTTTCAAGGTTACTCCAGTCAGCGCGAAGGACAGGTGCCGTGGTCCTGACAGATGGTACGAATGCGCAGGTAGGCCGCGTAAGTTCATCTCGGTGTCCGATTCGGGGTTGACGCTTACCGCATAGATAATGAGAACGATTTCTCCTTTTATGTGCTGAACATCATTCGTCTTTAGCCAGCACTGCTTTTTAGCACAAGCGCTCACCGTGTGACTTGGAGGCCACCAACTACAAACCAGTCATGGACTTGGCTGGACCACTTGGCAATCAATTACCGGTGGAGAGCTTCGATGGAAAATTGCCGTTTATTTTGGAGTACATTTCTGGACTTCGATCACAGCATGGTGCGGGTGCGTATATTTATTCGCTTACCCTCTGGAACGAACCCTTGATACAAGGCATTTAGTTCACGACGTGCAAATCATCTCTGTAGCTCAACCATATCGAGTTATGTTGGCTAGTAACCTCCCAGAACTCGACGAGACCAATTTTACTTTTAATGGTGACCGGAGAAAGGCGAAAGAGGCCATGATCAGAGCTTTTGAAACCGTCTGCCCGAAGTCGCTCACACAACTCAGTGAACACTGGATCTCGTCACAATTAGCCTGTAGTAGCTGCATTTCAATGCACGGTTTGTGAACTGCAAAACTGGCTGACTGAGAACTGACGTGGCTTGTGCTTGAGCTTATCGTTGAAACCTAATTTAGAGTTAGGAGCACCTTTTTGAGCACCAGAAGGAGTCCCGCAACGCTAAATATTCATTTAGAGAGGAACATTTCGTTCATGTATATCAAAAAATTTTCTTACTACCACCCTTTATTTGTTTTACCTCATGAATTTGCGAGTAAATGTGATCAGATTACTAAATTAATGGAACGAATCTATTTTTAACCTCATCCCCTTGGATTTCATTTCCGCTTGATGTCATCTAATCATCCTGGGGTTTGATTTTTGATCCGACCTCATCAGTGGATCGAATTCGCGAGGTTTATTACTGTACCCTGTTGTCCGTGGGTTTTACCTAAAATCGACCTTTGGAAAGAAAATCCATCCAGCTCGGGTTGGTTGTTCATTAGAACACCTTTTTCTTATGAACGGTTGATGTTTTGGTCTGGCTCCTGCTGATTGGTCCAGTTGCTTATCTCACTCACTATCGATCATCATGAGGGACTTGATAGTTATCATGCTACGGATTCAGCATCTTAGCCAAATATTATTGTCATTATGGCTAAAAAATCGGTTGGATTAAGAGTTTGGATCAAGGCGACTTAGTAAAGGATGCATGCAAGCTTAGTTGGGTGCGGGGAGAATCGAAACCTTTTAGGACAGTAAACATTTGATACGTGGATATTATTTTGGTCGCTATTTGAATTTATAGTAATCCTCTCGAGAAGAGGATGTCTCGAAAAGGCGGACATTTTGGTCACTTTCGGAAGCCTATTCTGGGGGATTGGACGATAAGTCGTGGTTGATGATGCATGCCTCCATGAGCTTCTCAGAAGAGTGGCTTTTTGCGGGACAAACCTACTGAAAAAATAACGAGGAGTTATGTAACTGTATTTGTATATAGATATTTCTCATATCGGGTGTGAAGACTCAGTGGTTAGAGTGCGCTTTTACTGACCGGAAAGTCCGTGATTCGGACCCGACCTATGCCTCTCGACTTCCCATGTCTAGGCTTGAGAAAATCCGGCTGTATCCCAGACCTCGTGCTTCCTTCTGTTGGCATGGCAGTTAGGCACCGCAAGGGTGCTATAACTGAACGAACGAACGAACGATTTCTCATATATTCCGGGCGCTGGGGATGATGGATAAGGTTGTCTGACACGGTTTTCAGCCTTTCTGCTGCAGTCTTTTCTATCGTAACAGTTCACGAAAGTGACCGAATTGGCTGTGGAGGCGTCTACTATGTAAAATGTGTAATTAACTCTCCAAAACGCTGTATGGAAAGTATAGTTTCCACCTCGATCTTGTACGTTGTAATAACAGACACTGATTCCGAGACTATTCGGTTTCCGTGCCACTTTAATGGCGAACTTCATTGGTTGTACCCCAATTCGACCTGAAAATCAAGTATGTTGGATTTTTGTAGTATGAGTAGCATAAAAATTTACTTTGCACTGCGGCTTGCCTTTCGAAAGGATGACAAGCTACTTACTCAATTACGTACTCCCCAAATTCGTATGTTTTTTGTACCCTCTGATACAAACCTTTTGCTTGAAGTGAGTGATCGCCAGTTAAAGTCGACGAGTTCCTAATAACCATATAAACGTGATTGTGAACTTCAGTTGTTTCGATTCAGTGTGAACGTTACTCAGTATTCACATTCGTATTAGTCATTACATGGCAGTCACACATCGAGGGAGAGTTTTACTTAAACCTGTTAGTTGACCTAGGGTTGGCAGCAAGACCACGTAACGAAATAGTGCTCTTTGTGATTTCGATTGGATTGACGAATCGAGGTTGGGTCAGAGGATCTTTTGCCAATCTTTGCTAATCTTTTGCTAATTTCGGTGGTAGTTTTTGCAGGATGGGGGGAAGTAAATTGATTACTCATTCTGATAAGACATCCTCTTCCGAAGAGTTGTCTATTTGCTATTATACCAGAATCATCACCATCATTATCATCATCGACAGCATGACATCAGTGTTCAACACCGATGCTTCGCTACCGTACTATCATACCAGCGTTCATTCGGATGTCAACTCAACACCCGGAACTCGTGTATTCTTTAGGGGCCATCAATCGTGAGCGACACGCGAGAGCTGAGGTACTGCGAAGCGACTCAAGTCAAAAACCAGCAGTATGTTCGAACCACGGACGACCAACCTCTGAGTCATTTCTAGCTCATTCCCCACTGCTATATGCCCAGCTCAAATGATTGCAAGGATGTGCTGACGACCTCTGAGAATGTCCACTGTATTCACGGTTTTCAGTTTGTTCTTATCACACTTTCCACCTCCCAAATTTGTGGACCACCAGTTTGTCTAAATATTCCTGCCCAAAATAGCCGTACGGTTCGAGCAGTGAAGGCAATTTACAAATCAAAATGGTTTTAAAGGTGGACCCACCCTGATCACTTGTTTATAGTATCCTTCAGTCGAGCGTGCCTGGCAAAGATCGCCTCATGCTTGGTTGGGAACGATAATCAAAACGTTAGAGTATTTTTCTAGTATTAATAGGTGCTATTCGACGTCCCTACCAAATTTGCCCTTTTTGGGACTCATTCGGTTGGGCCAAGTCCTGGAGCCTCTGTCAATCTCATTTTGTACCCGAACACCAAGTTATTGGAAACTCGGGATCGTAGCAGGTCATTGGCTGTAGAATAGTTTTCTTCAACCGTATAGGTGGTATCTTATCAAGAAAAATTTAAAAAAATTGGATTCATATTTATTCCATGATTAAAAAACCACTTCCACATTCCCTCCAAGCTTTGGAATCAGAGAAGAATCCACGAGACTCAAAACAAGCAGCGAAATTCTGCTTGTCTTTCGTTTCCGAGGTTTCCGACTTACTTTCCCAAGCGCAACGTCTTGTGCAACCAATGCTGGCGGCCTATCAGTCTATCCCTTCAATCAGCAGCCTTGCTAGTGAACTAGATACAATACATTCAGTCCTTGCCGAAAGACTTTCACGCGAGTTGAGAGCGTTGCTTGCTGTGAGTTGGTTTTCCCATGTGAATATGCACCCCGATTTTTGTATATTTAGCTTTCTCTAGAGCTCGACTACCGTGTTTAATCAACTGGGTGGGTGAACTGATTGAATAAAGTTGAGTTGACACTTGCCATTTTCTCCACCTAATGCAGCAGTATATGATGTTAACGGAGGTTTAGACGAGCTCCAAGTGAATTGCTGGTTTCCGATGTTGCATTCCTCTGCAGCACAACTGCACAACATGGTTAGCAATTAGTCGCAGGTCCCCTTTATGAATAGGCTTCGAATTTTTTGCGCCCATGCTTTTCAACATCCTCCAAATACAGAGCTTTCACTTTTTTACAACAAAATGGTGCTTTTGACATCTTTATATGCTCAAATATGGTTCAGAAATGTGTTCTTACTCTATCAATTGGAAAATGTTTGGGACCGATTTGGTAGTCATCGTTTCAGGAAGGTTTGGTAAATCATAAATATCCACTAATTGTTTACCAAGCCTCTCTGAAACGACTTTCTTACTATAGTTTACAAAACATGCTGCCTTTGGCGAGGTGATTCGACACTTTTGAAACTACTTTTAAACTACTTTTAAACTATCGTTTTCGAAAAAGTTTGGTGACAATCGGTAGATTTATTGCTGGGCAACGTTTCGCTTTTGACGCAAAAGCTTCGTCAGGCCAAGTGACTAGGTTCCGAGGTTGATCGAGAGTACCCTAGCCGCCGATCTTTCTTCTGGTGGTGATAGGTTTTCACCGAAAGGATAAGGCATCTGGACGATTTGGTATTTTTTAACCTGAGTGGTTAAATCTCCGGACCAAGAAGCTTCATTTTTGCTGATCATGTCAGACTGAGCACACACTAACTAATTCAAATATCGGATACCCTCAAAACCATTCAAACACCACCTGAGCTCGATGAAACCAGGCATATTTGACTCGTTTGAAAGGATACCTGTTACAGGTAGGCTCGTCTGTTAATGGTCAACGGTAGTTCCTGTTGACCTTTCGTCAGTCCCTTTGGAAACTACCTTAGGTCTACCACGCTACGGCTGAATTGGTCTACTTTTGTGCCAAGTAGAGAAACACCGACGTTGCGTTCGTTTGACCTTCATTGCCTCAAGCTACCTCATTGGGTAGGGCGTCAACTTACTGACCGTCGTTCGAACCCAACCCCAGCATCTTGACTGCTGCTGTGTAGGCTTGAGCAACATGGCAGTATCTCAGCCGCCGTGATTCTTTCAGGTGGCGCAGCAGCCAGGCGCCGAAGCGGCGTTACAGCTGAACGATTATTTTTTATATTACTGCCTCACTGGTATTTCACACTGAATACCATGGATACTCGAAAATGTCGCGAAGCGAATGCAGTATGGACACGTTAGTTAACTAGGTTTGTTCGCCAAGTTTGCTAGGTGTATTGCAACAGTTCCGTCACCGATCGCGGAGGCGTCTTGAAAGCGTCTTCGCTATTGATTATATGTTGCCTGCGTCCATATACGTTAGCCTAAGTTACGCAACAGCTGTCAAACGAGAGGCAAGTCTGGTGGAGTCTGCCCGACTACGGACTTGCAGTGCATTGTAGCATGTTATCATTCCGTATGTGAATGAGTTTTACTTTTCACCAAGCGGCCTGCTACGAACCCCCATGCGGTGATCATAAACGGGGGTAATGTCGCTCCTTGATGCCAGTTTACACTTTTGAGATGTTTTAGCTTAAGAAGGTATGGGAAGGAGCACTAGAAGTGCTTGAGAAGAGTTTTATCTCGCTCTCTTGTGGTTGTTGCAGCATCCAGTCCTTGTATGCTCACAAAAGCTCGATCTGAAGACGACAACCACTACCACACGTCACTTTGTTCGTCCGGGATGAATACCGCTTATTCTGTTTACCTTCAAATTTCACTCGTTTTTATAGAAGAATAAGTTTTATTTGGGCAGAGGTACGTTAGAAGTGAAGCCTTAGAATATAACGCTGTGAATAATGAAGTTTGAATGATTCTGCTTCGGAGCAACATGTATCACCATATTACTGCAACTCGCATCGTAATTCCATTCCCTTTCAAGACTCACTTAACGAACACAGATGCCTCTCCATTCTCATCCTTCTTTCAGGGCAGTCGGAATGTGTTGGATAACGCAGCGCTTATACAAATGTCATGTCAGCTCGTTGAGTTGATGCCCGAAAAGCTGTCTGTAAAGTCCAACCTACTTACTTGGTTTATCTCGCGGCAGCTGGGTGAATATCGGGAACTCTTCGATCCTAGCCAAACCGCTGCGTGGATTGATAAGATCGATCACCGCTATGCGTGGCTTCGATCCAATCTGCCTCCGATGGAACGTAAATTCCAGGCAATATTCCCCTCCCATTGGCACGTGACAGAAGAGTGAGTATTGGTCTCTCTTGTGCTCTGTTTTCTCGCACGGACCTGTTTTTCGGCTCCCGTAAGAACATTCTGACTTGTAAATATATGGAACATCCAAGGTCTCCTATGCTTGTACGTAGCAGCTGAAGCCATTAAACTTATAATAAAGCAGACCAAAAATGCTCGGGGTTTAATGGATCATGAATGTCCAGATGTGATAGTCTACTCATAAGGTTGCTGAAAACTTCGGCAGTGCACGACGGTTTCGCCCTTCTTGGGGCTCAGCAGTCCCCGAGTTTCCGTCGACCTATGTTCTACTTGCACTCCACTTGAGCACATTTCGGCAAATAGGCTCATTTGCATATCTTTTGGTTTTGATGGGAGCCCCACCTAGAACCCAGCTGAATCTCTCGTTTATGACGTGCTGAAGCAACTGAATGTGCTGCACCAGGCCGCTCCTGTTTCATTTACTACGATACTCGAGAAATCAAAGTATATTTTCGTCAAGGAAACTACTCACAAGGTTGCTGAAAACTCTTGGACAGCCCCTGATCGGTTTTGCCATTCCTGGGGCTCATCAGTTAGGCATAGTGCTCGAGTTTCCGTCAACTTCACGATGTATCGCGATATCTCGAATATCGTACCAAGTAAGACACGAAACAGTTCGGTGAAGCACATTCAGTTGCTTACGAACATCATAAAAGGGAGATTCAGTTGCGTTCCAGGTGAGTTTCCTGTCAAAACCAGATTGATGTCAAATGAGTGTGTGTCGAGAACATGAGTGTCCTTATTCAGCGCGGCGGTCGTTCTGGATCGGTCGGGTTGCAGAGGGTTGAGCACCACTCTTATCGGCATCGTCAGTCCGAAACGGTGATGTGTGGTTCTTCAGCGTGGGGGCACTGACTAGTTCCTTGCATGTCTGTATTCGTACTGTTAGGCGGGCCCGACTTCCGATTGTGAATGTGTGTTTCACTCTACAATGCTACTGGATGTTCCGAACATTTTAGGTGGCCCTGAAAGCAGCATTAAAATCTTTTTGGAGGATTCAGCTCACTCATTGAGCGATGATGGCAGTTTAGACGGTTCTCATACTTCCTGTCCTGAGCTACTTTGGCTGATGTTTTCAGATCCTTTCACTCAAATGCCTTGTAGTTCCCTTAACACATTCTGCTCCACGATAATACTAAAAGAATAAAAGACCGGTGGTCAGGGCTTTATTCTGGATCCCGACATTTGCCTTCAAATTACCGGTAAGCTGAAACAAGCTAGCGAAGTAGACACCGTAGGTATTCGCTGTTCAGACAACCAGATGCGATGAGCCGTTACCGGGTAAAATTCAGAATCATAACTTTTATACTGTGCCAACCATCTATTCCACCCTGACGTTGTAGGCTAATTGTCGAGTTCTGCAGAATCACACGGACGGACTTGGAAATTGTGATGAAGCGTCGACAAGCTGAATTAACACACAACCTACTCATCTTTGGACTGCAGAGAACATTGGCCTTTGAATCCAGTTTGAATAAGATCTATCCAGATTTTACGCCGTCGGAATGCTGTCAACAGCGGACAGGTGCCGAATCATCGAACACGAAACGCCAGAAATCGCTTAATCCTTTTGACGATGACGAGGAGGTGGTAGCTACGACTCCAGTTTCACAAAAAGAGAGCGACAAACAGGGCTTGTCTGCCATGACGGATAAGGAAGCCGGTGACGCAGACTGGAAAAAGCAAGCTTTCGATGGGCTTATCTCTGGGTACGTATAACTTAATGCTATGCATGATTGTGTTTCCTCCCTTCCTTCCTGATTTTTTTCAAGTGTTATTTTTAAACTTTTACTTACAAGTGATAAAAACATACTGGGCACAAGGATCATGGGTTATTTTGGGAAGAAGTCGATGTTTAGTGATAGCGTAGCACACTTTTATGTAATATTTATTCCTTTTCCTCCGGCGGTTCAATATGGGTTGTTATCATAACTTCTGACTGCTACTGCTTTGTAGGAGATCAGATCATAACATCAATCGAAAGTCATTTCAGGAGTTTTCAAAAGGCCCATGGAGTTCTCACTACGGTCCGGTAACTGCGATGAGGTCCACTGTGTTGTTGCGTAAATACCAGTAGCAAACTATCCTGCTAATGCAGGACGCGACATTCATACTTATACACTTTGGATTCCCTTATAGTAATCAGGCGCCTCGGCCTTGTCAGTTTGCCGCTAGTTCATCTATGGTTATGACCGTAATCCTCCTGACAGATCATGTCGTTTCATCAGGTGGCAGTCAGATGCTGTGGGTTCACAAGTTGAATTTTGCCATTGTGACAACAAATCTCTGACGTGACGGTTGCTCATCGTTTCACGTCTGTCTCACTTGTTTCCGTCCACTTTTCCTCCAAATAAAGCACCCAAAGAACATGTCATATTTCACTGAATGAAGCTAACCTTTGTCGCGTTTTTGACCTTCAAAATTGGCTAGTTTAACTTGCCACAGGAGGGACGCAGTTTTCAGAATTCGCCTTATTTGTTTGCTACTGGGCTGTTTTAAGTAGTGTAAATCAGACGCGCAATTTGTGGGAGTTTTTTGCAGACTTCACAGTTCTGATCGTGCGTTGCTTGTTTTGATACAGATGTATTGCAAATATATTTTTGTAAGTGTCGCCTTATCCCTCTGTATTTCCCTATTCGGATTAATCGATTACAAGGATGGTGTTTTTCGTCCTTTCCGTCTCTTGCTGTGATCAGGTGTCGTCTAACCAGCATCAGACCGATGTAGAACTATGTGGTTTGTCGGTAGTGTCAGCTGTCGAAATTTTAATGGATAAAATAAGGCACCCTATAACTCAGTAGTAATTATTCTAACTTGTTCTCATACCCCGAGGCAGCGAAGCCTTCGAAGAACGTTCCTGTTATTCCCTTTGCGTTTTTATTTATGAGTCATCGAAAGGTTCTGGTAATTTTCCGTCACATTCTTTAAAGTTGGTCAAACGTGGTAACTCGGCAACTGCGTCGTTTTATAATGTCTGCTTACAATATTGTCTATATATACATTATATATATATGTATATATACATATATAGTTTCCACTGATACTGCAAGGAAAAACCATCCGAATAATGTCGTTTCTATCGTTTCTTGTGGGTTTAGTTTTTTCCAAGTTGATTCTCCCAAAATGGAGCATTTTGGTGTTGAACTGAGGAAAGTAACTGAAGTTTTATGGCCGATCTTTATTACTTTTCGATTTTAGTTGTTTCGATGCACACTTTGATCTCTATTTGAATCATGTCGCTATATATACATATATATATGTATATATACATATATAGTTTCCACTGATACTGCAAGGAAAAACCATCCGAATAATGTCGTTTCTATCGTTTCTTGTGGGTTTAGTTTTTTCCAAGTTGATTCTCCCAAAATGGAGCATTTTGGTGTTGAACTGAGGAAAGTAACTGAAGTTTTATGGCCGATCTTTATTACTTTTCGATTTTAGTTGTTTCGATGCACACTTTGATCTCTATTTGAATCATGTCGAGAAAGCTTTGCATGATCAGCTACACAATCGCCTTATCGGGGATTTCACAGTCAACAAATCAAGTCTCTCGGGCCACGAGTTAACCGACGTTCTCAAGAACAGTGGTAAGCGTCATTTTTATATATTGATCTTAGTGCATGGTGACCAGCAGTGGCTTTTCCAGGGCTGTTGTCCTCACTGTGTTTCGAACAGTGATGAGTAGAAGTCTTTTTCGGCCTCCTGTTTTCCTGTATGTAAAGAGAAAAGTGGCAGCAAACTATAGTAGAAGCGGATTAATCCAACCAGAAGAAACAAGGTTTTGATTCAGTTCATTTGAGGAGATTACTTGGGCCATGTCATTTTCTGAACTCTTATCAGACGAGGTTGCTGTTGGTCAGGGATGCGAAGTGAATAAACTTCGACAGGCTAGGATAGAGGCACTGTATGTAAAAATTTCTCGCGGGCGCCTAGATCTGACTCTGTCTTTGCAAATTCATCCAAGTGTGCCCCTCAGGAAGCCGATTGTGAGCATTATATAGGGAAGAATGTCTGTCCATATTGAACTAACTGGACCCTACTGCGTTGTGGCGATTTTTGCAGCTCCACAATCCTTTCAGTCTGTAGGTCTCCTGATGTTGGTTCTTATCCGAAGATGCTACCCGCAACCCTGTAACATGCAGAGTGGTCCGCTTGTGAAACGGTGCATCCAACTTGGTCTAAACACTGCATCTCGTGCAACACTTTAAAATGGTTCGAAATTCGGACTCGTACTTCTGGTACGACACAGCTCGGCGAACTGTCGGACTTCACGTGGAAATGAGCATATGCACGAAGAGGGTAGTTTGGTAGGTCCAGAAAGCCGAGAAGGTGGAGCGATCAAAAAATCCGGGAATGTGCTTAAACTATTCCGGTCCAAAAAGATCTCGGGCTTTGCGAAGCAGCCAATGATAGCACAGCTCGATCGTCTCTGAAAAAAATCTGACAGAGGAATTGGCTCGTCCACTGTCTTAACCGGACTGCTTGGGTTACTTATTTTACGTCGTCTGGGAAAGGCGCGTGAAGACGGGACCCGAAGACAGCAAGCAGGATTCTGGCCTATAAAAGGTTGTGTGGACCGTATCTACACACTTTGTCATTTGTGAAAGCTTAAGCTCCTTACGGAGATTCGAACCTAGTACCTGGCGGTTGTAGTTGAGCACATCGTCTTGCCACCATTGACTGATTAGCGATGTTGGTTATCTTCATCTGCTTCAGTGTCATCGTCTTTTTAACACACCGTTGACGTTACATATTGCGGTTCAATGGCTACCCGCATGATGACTTCTCAGACCACAAACCCGTGTGGCTTTGGGGCTTTCTCATTTCTGATCGTCTCATTTGTAGTTTTTTGGTAAATAGAAGGCTCCGAAACTTCAGCGGGTCGTTCATCCTGGAAGTGAAGCCAGTTTGTGATAAAAAGTCGGGGCATCGATAGGCACCCACAGACCCTAAGCAATCTGCTTTGAAAGGAAGAAGTTCCATCAAAGAAACTGTCACTCGAAGGGCCAGCCAAAACCGGACCGGATGACGTGGTTGTAGGTGCATATATCATAATCATATTTCTGATTGGTGGCTGGTCGCCGAATGAAGTGTTCCACTCGTAAACAGAAGTTGACGAGTTCAGATTATTCTGGGAACTCGTAAGGTGATTACCCATGGAGATGGTACAGCTTTTAGCCTTTCCAACGTAGACTGGCTCCTCTTGGTCGCATCCTGTTCCGATACTGGCTATAATGATTGGACGCATCAGGTGATGGTAATTCACCTCATGGTGGAATCCAAAACAGGACTCACTTTGATTACGTTATTGTATAGTTTTGTGTTGTTTTTCTACATTAATGAGAACCATAAGATCCTTTCTTTTCAATAGTTGTTCCAAATTCACTCGTAATATTTCTGCCACTGAAATTCGGGTGTTTGGAGCAAGGATAAATCAGTGGCGTTGGCTCACGTTTTACGCCGGTTGTCAGTATTGATACGAATCTTGTATTTGATTGTACCTACCTTGGAATACACACCGACAGAAATCAGAAAACGTACTAGACAGGCGTTGTTCTTGGTGGAATCCTCCCACGAGATCGAAATTCACGCGTGAAAAGTCACCTACCTGATTGTCTCATCTTGATTGTTGCACCTTCCAAGGGCATCACTTTGGATAGTTTCAGCAACACTGAATTGCATCTATAAAGATCTGTGATTGGTAAATTGTTGGAATCCCGTAACAGTGTATTCCTTCAGTGTCGTCCTAATAGGTTTTGTATACAATTTCAGCTGATTGCCAGTGACCCACATAGTTAATGGCAGACGCAGACTGTGTTACTGATCAAATTTATGGATGAATTGTGATTTACACGCTAGAGATAGCTCAGTGGTTAAGGCTTGAAATTACCGACTGGAAGGTCCATAGTTCAAACCCAACACTGGCAATGCTGCTATTCATCAAAATGGCTTTATAGATGAGCAGTTATTTTATTAATTTGCAGACTTACTTCATCCGTCTTTATTAAATGTATGGTTATTAGATAAACATTGCCACCATGAGACCAAATTTATATTCGTGCTTATGATCTGTGACGGCCACACCTACTGGGTGGAAGGTAGAGAAAGTTGGATCGTGGAGAACCAGCAAGAGAACAGATAGTTTTACCGTGGTTGACCGTAGGAAAGATCTACCATTACCGAGCAATGAAGTCTAGGAGGACAAATGGGTTCCGGTTCCCCTCAACGTCAGGTTTGCTACTTTTGGGGTTTATTGGAACAACTTTCGGTAACATTCTTGAATTCTCCAGATCTGTTTTGTTTGAAGTAGACAGTTTTCGCGTTGAAAAACCCTAGCGTTCCCGGGTTCCTGCGAAACTAGGCTACTGGTAGTCCATTTTTTCGGTTCTCATATTTTATTTTTTTTATTCCATTAGCATATATATATATATATAATATCTTCATATTAATTGTCATGCTCTTTCCAGATCAAGTAACGACGGCAATGCCAGTGAGTACCGGTGATTCTGGAGAGAACACGCTGTACTCCGCTACGGATCTGTTTCTGCTTTACAAACAAATCATAAAACAGACACTTCAGCTGAATCGTGGCCAAGGTCTTCTCGGCTTGGTACGGCTTCTCAGGCAGTATCTTTCAGAATACACGTTATGGGTACTGTTAGCACAAATTCCCGGAATTTCCATCGGAACGCCCACAACAGCAACGAGCGGAGCGTCTGAAATGACTGCGAAAATGGCTGCTTTCGGATTAAGCGGACTATCTGCTTTGGGTTAGTTTGCGCAAGATTTGTCTTGTTTAGTCGTTTCTGGTCGAATAATTGAAGTAGGGTACTATGAATGGGTGACCTTCAGGATTGTTTTGGTTCAAATTCATCTGTTGGTATTAGCTATTACGGATTTAGGGAACCAATCCAAACAACCGAGTTTTCGAGCGATATCCTACTGCCTTTCACTTCTGTCCGAACACGTCCTCCCTTGGAGTTGTCGAGGTTTACAGTTCTCAAACAGGTCACTTTGTAAGTATTTGGGATACTTTTTGAGCCGAATGCCTGAGGTTAGATGCACATGGACCCATCACATAGCCGTCAACGACTCACGGAACATCCTGATTCCTGTAATTTGACAATATCTCCAAGTATGCCGCTCCATAAGCTAACATCTAGCCAGTCAGAAAACACTTGCGTTTTTGTACTCATGTTGATTCCGCAGTCGCTAAAGTGCACGGTTTGTCAGGGTCGAACCCACTGATGGTGGCATAGGTGCCCTGATTGGACAAAATATTGTCTGTCATCAGATGTTGGATCACTACATGACGCGACGGTCGGGTGGTCGTTTTGTTGGACTGAGGCTACCGAACTTTCCTGGTTGCCCCGATGGGATTAACGGTGGACGGAGAGTTCACGTCATCATTCCTCGACTGGCTGTCAACATGATTACGCTATCAGAATCGAGTACCCTATTCAGGCGAAATACCGATCTTTCTGATCCGCCAATACGCATGACATTCGTGCAAAATGCAGAATTTTTGGTTTTCATTTGGACGAGTCCATTATATTTTCTCCCCCTCTCACGAGGCGAACGATTTATCATCTTGTTGAAGTGTTTACTTCTCGGATGGGTTGTTGTGTCGTTCACATTAGGTAGTTCGGTATAATGCAGTGCCTTTTCCCAAAAGATCTTGGTTCTTAAGGAAAGCAGATATGTCGATATTGTGAACTTTCAGCGTGTCATCCTTCATTTTCACCAGTTGCAGTCCAAATTTGTATTAATTATTTGTGGAAAATACCTCTGCCTTGTAATCTAATATCAATCTGAACTTCATATTACAGGTATAGGTCGGGGCCAGACAACGAGCAATACTCAGACTGATGGATTACGACCGATTGGGCGTGCTAGTTTGATAAACGGCGATCAAAGCAATGTTTCACTCAGTCAATTGTTTTCCAGTCTCCTTCGGGACGATCAGCAGGTTTGTGCAAAGTGACTTGCCTCTAGATTGATTTTTCTAAGCAGACTCCTAGTCCCGGCTGATATGGTTGCTATTATTGCTGCTATTATCATCACTATAATTATCTGTTGTAAGGTATCGTTTTTGCCCCGCACTTTTCAACACATTATACGTTGGAGTTCCCATAAACTCACGTTCTTTTTGTCCGCACTCCTCTCAGCTTACTAGGCTTGCTTGCTTTGAATGCGTTCATTTATGAATGTATCCTACGGTCAACCCAGGCTTATGACGGTTCCGTCTATTGTTCTGTTTTAAATTTAGCTCCCAAGGTTGAGCAAGGATGATATTCACAAGGTCAGCATTATCCTTGTAACTGCGGCGTTCTGTCTGAAGACAGTGGAGGAGCTGGAAGCGCGTCTTAAGGTGGAGGTAAGTTAAAACCTCATTTCTTCTAATCCGATTGTGTGAAGTTAACTTCCACTGTCGTGTTCTAGCTTAATTCGGTCAACTCACGATACCTTTTCGTCTGAACGACTGCCGTTTGCGGTTGCTCTACTGGTCTGCTCTACGCTGTTTACAGGAACAATAATATATTGGTGAAACGTACTGTGAGATAATTTTGTCCTGATGGATATAAATTTGAGACATTGGGTTTTGGTGCAGACACAAAAATACGTCTTGACAAACCTGAATTCGGTATGATTGGCACCCGTCACGCAAGCTGCTGTCTTTTGGATGCAAGGTATGATTGCATGGTGCTCTCATTACGGGTGGTTCATCTTTGATCAACGAAGTGGTTGGTCTTCTTCTAAGCTGCTATAGGCCTCTTTTAATGTTATGTTCAATCCTTAGGTGCTCCTGTGTGCAACAGATTATATGGTCACACGACAGTTGAACTGAGGTATTTGAGCGCATGGATGCGGCCGAATGCGGTCGCATTGTGGATCGTTTGGTGAACATCAGCGCGCACGTACACTGGAAAGGTTCCGTACTTTGGTTAATTTCCTAGGATAAACATAACCGATGTACATTATCACTTGGCCACCGATATCCATCCGTGCAGCAATAATCCTACTGACTGCATCCATATTGGCTGATTGTTTCCACTTAGATAAGACCGCCGTCCTGGGCCTCGAAGATATCGTTTTCACAAGAGATGGATGGATTTGCGGCTTGTCGTTCCGTCTGTGTACATCGCTTGGTATCTGATCTAGAATCCGCCGCGGAGCCCCAGCTTGCTGCAATGGCCCGTTTACCTTGGAACAATCTTACTCAAGTCGGTGACCAAAGCGTGTATGTGACAGAAATAATCAAGCACTTGCGTACTCAAGTGCCACTGATTCGTGATACTCTGTACAGCGTTCGGTACGTCCGTGCTTGTTATCTCGCCCCTCATACCGCGCACCTCTTCCCACAGTATTTCTTCCGGCGACAGCTCTTTTATTTATCTTCGAAATTAGTTTTAGTTTATTGGGCACTAAGTGAGGGGATGAGTGATACGGTGAAACATGCCATAATCAGCCACTAGCACCGCAGATATTCCCAGTCAATGGAACGAGATGCTGTCAACCTAAATGACCTGCATTTTTTCGCATCATATTCGTCGAGCGTTTTGTCTAGGATATACTTTTGGGTCATTCATGTTCTCCTAGTGAGCTTTTGGTCTAAATTCTTATTTTTTGGCTTTATTCACTCCCTCCAAGGGCTACCTTCACTCAAATCTGCATCAAATTTGCTGGCTCCCTCATCACTCGGTTCATAGGCTCTCTGTACCGCTGCAAGCCACTCAACACCTTCGGTGCCGAGCAACTGTTGTTAGATACCCAGTCCCTCAAATCAGCTCTACTGCAAATGCCTGTGCTCGGTTCCAAAGTGAGTCATCTTTTTTCACTGGCAAGGCCCTGCCAGCAACTGCGGCAGTTCTATATGAGTTGGAGATAGACTGATTTTAAACGGCGTGGTTATCGTAGCCAGAAATTAGTTGTCCCTGTGTATCGATACGAATGTCCTCGCTGTTTTTCGAGGCTATTCATATTTCTTCGTTAGGCACTTTCTGACCAGTATGTGTTCAGTTTCTCACGGTTCGGTCAATTATTATTATAATCGACTCCCTCAGTGCCCACTAGTTGAATGTCCCGCTGAAATCGCTTGTCGTACTCTCTCCATTTCTGTTTACGGATTGGTCTTTGCTCGTCTAACCCGTTCAGCAATTCAGTAGGTTCTCTGAATTGAAGAGACTGTGATATCATCGTGACCCAACCAAGATTGTTTTCCTATACGAATAGTTTTAAGCTTCCTTACGAGTGTTTTTTTGGACTCGAGTATGCTATCATCGACATTCGTAACTTTTACAGTCTTGTTGTCATTTGATAAAGGTGCAGTAATTGTAGTCGTTTGTTCAGCTATTCTTCAAAAGTCTCAGAGAAGATATACTTCTTCCGCAGCCGCTCTGAGTGGACTTAATTCGCGGCTTTCTTGGAACGGCATGCTGTGCGCTTCGTTGGATTTAAGCTGCAGCCATCTGCCCATCAACATGTCGATCGGAATGCGGTTGGGTAGAAGTGCCTTATTGATTTCATCCTCTTTCTGTTACCGTGTATTGTTACTTCTCGTTTCGGTTGCATCCATGTTTTTCAGCCCTTCAGAAAGAAGCCTGCACTACTTTTTCGTTCATTCAGGTTGCACGCGAAATAGCTGCATTCAACCAGGAGCTTCAAACATTCTCATAATAATACTTCGTGTATTGTCAGTGCCTACAAACCGAAGCTTCACACTCAGGGTAATGATGAAGCCGCTAACTTCTGTATATTCGTACTAGAAACGAAAGCGTCGTTGAAAACTTCATGGAAGGTTGATGTGGCAAACTCGTTTGGTCGTCCGATCCTAACTCTTCCTCTTCGCAACTGTTTACTCGTAAAAGAGTATCGATTTTTGCGGTAAATTTAATTAAGGCTGTCCGTTCATGTACTTAGGGACATGCTCAAACGTCTCAGCAGTTGACTCAGATGTTGCTTTTCTGTTTCAAGCTTAGTGGGGAGAGGTGTCGTTGCTTTGCTGGCTAGTTAGAGTCAAGCGACGACAGTTTTCCTCCATGTCGTACGCATATTAGAGGCCCCAGGCCAAAAAACTTGCTCTCTGCTCTTCAATATCTTGCTCCTTACTTTGCATCTCTCATGATATTCTGATATCTTGGTCGTGGCTCTAATGATTTTGTTCGCTTTGTTTTCCAGTTTGCACAGCAACCACCGCGGAGCTTCACCAACCTCGTGCATGAAGGCATGGGTGGCGCAGAGCGCATTATAAAAGCAGTTATGCTTCCGGTTGGGTCCACTGGCCTCCCACAGGCGGCAACGGACACGAGCTCAACCCCCTCCGGGTTTGTCATGGGCCCTGTGGATGCGAACGCCGCGGAGGCGTTCCTGGCTAGCTACAGGCAGCTTCTGCCGGACGCAACACCCACAGATTTACAAAAGATTTTGGAAATGAAGGTTAGTCGTTGCTTTTTTGAGCATAATTTTGCATGCATTGTTGTGTTTACCGTTTGATGTATACGTAAAAACAACATACCAGTTACGCTACTCCAATATGGGTGCTGGGAGACAGGTTTTCTGAATCACGTGGTGGACTGCACCGACGCTGCTTATGTGCTTTTGTTCTTTGTCCTCGGATCGCATCATATGGTTCATGAACTATTAGGGGATTTTTTTTTGCTGTTTCATACAGATTTTCAGCCCTTCTAGAAGATGTGGCAAGTGTGGACCCTGCGACTACTCGATCTTTTTACCACGGGCATGATTTCTGAGTGATGTGCGTTTCTGCGATGTTTTTAACGTATTTGTAAATCTTTCTGCAGCTCTGATAATTTGGCTGTGATTGGATGGATGACCGCTAACGTTTTCCCTTCATTCTATGTTTGGCTTTCCAGGGCATCAAAGCCGCGGAGCAGCAGCTTATTCTCGATGCTTTTCGTATTCAATACGATGCGAACAAATCTTCTGTTCCGGCTGTGATAAGTGAGAAAGAGACCAAAGCTTCTACGACCGATGAAACAACTCGTGATCAATCAAAGTTGTCAATGTCTACTGCGCCCAAGTCATCCACCAACCACTCAGCGGCTACTGATTCATCCACTGCTTTACAGGCTGGTCGAATACGCCAACTTGAGAAACTGGTCAAAAAGCGCCGTTGACTGAATGGCGCTGGGGCCAGCTTCTCTGTGATTTCGTTCATAATCACTCGTGTAAACTTAGAGGTGCTTCTATTGAGTATCCCAGCTGTCGTTCTCATGGCGACCTTTGTATGATCCGTTACTCTTGCTACCTGAATCCTCTCTTTGGCTGTGTTATATTCGAAATGTGTTCTTGTTTATTTACGTTTTCTTACACACCGGTCACTGTAATGATCACGGTTTTTGGTAATCGCATGTTTTTTTAGGTCATGGCTGTTTTGCTTACACATATACCTGGGGTTGTTTTTATGTCATTTGGGTTCGAGGTGATGTATTAGTGCGATTGGTATCTTCCTTCGGTGCATTTGAGAGGCACTGATGTCGTTATTTTGTTCGAAACGCTGGTAAATATGCTGTGAAGTTGATTATTGTCTTCTTTTTGCTGGGCCTCCTAATCATAAAATTTGAAGTTGCTAACCACAAGGTTTGTTACATGAACTGTGAAAATGTATTGGATTTCCAATTCCGGAGTTTATCATCAGTTCTGACTTCATCACTCTTTTTTCCGAAGGAGCGAGTACGAACTATCTCGATCTCATGTTTTTATCACTGTAGGAAAACCTTACTATGGTATTCCAAAGCAGCGGACGAAGCACTATTATATCAACTTTTTACTGTGATTTTCAAGCGCTTTCTCTGTTGGCTTAAGAAATAGGCTTTAGGCTCGTGCGATCTTAGTTTTTTATTCTTCAACAAAATGACCGCCATGGAACTACCTGATCGGACTGGCAAATCGATCAAGGAGCTCGCATACTTACAGGTGTTAGCTGCGATTAACTCAGTGTTGATTTTATAACATTGTAGCTGCACATGCTACTAATGAAACATGTGGGAAATCTCTGTTTGAGGTAGTTTTAGGTGCTTGCTACATCTAATTGATGGCGGAGCTGTAAATTATCGATCTCTTGGAATGTGTTGTTTAATCTCTGGCAAAAATTTAAACGAGGTCCAGGAGAGCCCATAAATGCGCTCGAGAATGTTGACTTTGTTTTCTTGTCAGATGGCTCATAACCGCAGACTACTTTTCAACGAACGACTGGTAACTGCCATCGAATCCGAAGGTCGAGTAATTCAGCAAACCAGCGTTACAGCATCTGGGATTTGTTGGATTCAACTCGAGAATGTACGTATTTGTTCTTCAGTTACGATGACCAGTAAATGCCTTATAGAACCATGAGTAATTTGCGGTATTGTGAATAAAATATGCATTAGTTTGGAGAATTACGTTCATTCTATGGACTGAATCTTCTGGCGAAGTCTAATGTACTTGCTTGCGATTTCGTGGATCGTAACTTTGGAGTATTGCCCATTGAAAGGAGGGTCCATAGGAAACCATGTATTTCGACAAAGCAACTAAAGCTATCAGCGCGAGGATAACGTGCGTCTTCTTTACCTTTATTCCGACTGAAGGCCATAACCTGATAATGACGGTCGGGCTTCAGTAATGCAATGGTTCTGTGGGCTATACCTTCTGGTTCAATCGTACCAGAAATGTTCGTGGGGAGTAGCCTGAAGAAGGACAGATTCCCGTACTGCGGGAAATAAGATTACGAGGTGGTCTGCAGATTAAGTCGTACTGTCTTTATGGATAGAAGTGTAAAGGTAGTAAGGCATTTTAGACGACCAGCATGTACATATTTATGGTAGCAGTGATGCTGTTTTTCTCCAAGGAAGGACGGTCAACCCTAAAGACCCGATCACCAACTGGTTGATCGTGATGGTCAATTTTCGAAATAACATTACTTGTACCTTCATCCCATGACCGGAGGTGCGCGCTTCTCTCGAGCACTGTTGCTGGTTTCACATTCAACCGCCTGTTTCTGGTTGAAAACACTTTCGGCCCACGAAAAGAACATGTTTAATCAACACTTATATTGGATGATAGCTTGAACATAAGTTATCAAAACACGCACTGTAACTTACCGATTCCGGCTAGGATTTCCATTTTAAAAATACCCAGCAAAGTACTTCGTCCTTTGATGTTGCTTATAAAAATTAGCTATTTAGTGCCAAGTTCCAACGAACCTGAAATCTCAGCTTCAGGCAAATGGAAAAGTTATTTCATTTGTTACTTGTCGTAAGTCTGGTAATGAGTTTGGTCTGTTGAAAAATCCACTACGATACCTAGTAGAAACTCGGTCAGCTTTCCGGACCGTGGTAGATAGCGCGCCGTTTTTTCATTGCTTCTATATTCATTTCATCCAAAAACAGCAAAGCAGGGGAGATATGCAACGGTCTGAAAACATCAGCGACTTCTGAATAGAATTAGCGGCGCGATCCTATAGGGAAGCAAATTATATTGATAAAAATTCGATCGTACCACTTGTACACTCAATACTTGGAAACTTCTGTTTGCGCCCATGTGTCTGTCTTTCGAAGCTTCCAGTGGGAAACGAATGGACGCGAAAAAAACCGGACGCATGGAAAGCTAAAATAACATTACTGCACGACCCGTAAGTTCGCAAAACAGTTCCTAGTACCAAACACAAACTTATCAAAGCGTGATAAAATTCTTTTCAATACTTCTTACACGGATTGTACGATAAGCTACTCCCTGTCAGACGATCGTTGCGGCCCAGTTCATTTCTGTTTACTACTTAAAATGGTTTCTGTTCTTGGAACACTTCTCCCACAACAAAGCTTGGTAGTGTGGGAGTACTTACACGATCTGGTGAAAAAGGCACATGGCTATGTACGGATAATTCATTAGCAATGTTGTAATGCAATCATAATAGAGAGGGGAGTGTGACAGCATAAGCGTCTTAAGCGTCTTTGAAATTATTAATTTACTGCGCAGTCTACCCCACCGTTGATGAATTTTGACATGGGCTTAACTTGGACCTTTTTGCAATCTTTATACGTTTATCAAATGATAAGTTTACATCAAAGTTTCTCCTGAATTCAAGTGTCTAAGATATATATATATATATATATATATATATAAGATATATCTAAGATATATCAAATGTC